CTAGGTAACAGGTATGATGTTTCACGAAAGGTCATTCTAGTACTGTGCTCGGTAAGCGAAAGACCGCAGAGATAGGGCAAATGATTTGTCATTTCAACACAGACAAATATGGTGGCGGCAGATATGCGTTTGCGCCGGCCCAAATTATACCGTCCACCACCGCCAGTTGATAGATACATTCATATTTTTTACAAGAGGATGGATAAAGGCGTGAGTATCGCATTTCCCCGGTGTTAATCGACCTCGATTATCCGATCCCCAAAGAAGGGGATATCGTTACTTGCATGGCTGTCCGATGCGTCTACACGAAAGTTCCAAAACTCTTTGGGAAGAGATCTTTGTCGAAATCCGAAGAAATTGTCTTTTGATGACCTGAAACGCAGAAATTGTGCTATTCGCTACTATCGAGCAATGAGAGGCTGGCTTAAAGGAGTTTGCCCTCAGCACACTGAGGTTCTTTTGGGTTTCTACCCCATGCAGAAGTCCACCGTTGAGAGAGTAACTTCTACTGTTGTTCGAGCTGGCTGGATTGCGTAGGTGGAGTATTGTAATTTATCGTCGTTGAATAACAGAAGCCAACCGTTTGACCACTATTCCACGCTATTTAGGTTGATCTGCAGTCTATTCTCTTGGCAGCCCCCGGGAGTACACTCTGGATTATCATGCCATCGGCAAAAATATCTGTGTTAAAGTCCACATCTCGGACACAATTATTTACGTATATTAGGAACAGAATGGGTTCCAGTACTTAACCATGGGGACTCCCTCTTGACCGCAGCAGTACTTGATTTCTCTTGGCCGGTGCACACAACCTGGTCCCGACCCACAAGGAGGTTGTTGATTCGTTTTAGGTAGTTACAACTAATGTCTATTCGTTCTAGTTTGTACGGCAGTCTCTGATGTGGCACAGTGTCGAAAGCCTTTTGAGAGCCAATGAGGACGGTGTGAACCGTGTGCTTGTCCTCGAGAGCTCGGGTCCAACTCTGGAGTCCTTATAGAAAATGTCTCTTGCAAGATAGGTTTTTCGGGATAACAGGTTTTGGGCCTCTAGGAACTGAACCAACTCGCTCTTAATGAACCCCTCTGTGAACTTGCCGAGTATGAATGCCAAACTTAGGGGCATTTAATTAGTCAAGGACACTGGACTACCGCTTTTCTCTGAGGGAGTTATATGCACCAACTTCCAATTTCCGTGGTCAAAGAATTTCTGAAAACATGGTATTGCTGACTCTTGGAGCTGGCAATTTGCCTGCGAGGGGCCGAAGGAAATTTGTCCCATGTGTGTAGAATGTTCAAAAGAACTGAGAAAAGCACTCATTTTGTTCTTGTTTTCAGCGATTTATAGCGCTTCGGAACGGTAAAATCGCCAACCTAAGGGAACTGAAGATTTATGACGAAGAAATGGTCCACATTTCTACGAAAAGCCTCTATGAACATGTACGATATCAATAATTCCAGTCGGCGGTAGCAGTGTACTTTCAGCCTATGCATACCCTATTAACTCTGCACTCAGAACTGTACTCTGTTGTGGTACTTGATCGAGCTTGGATCCGAAACCTCAAACCAATATAGTTCTTGTTTCAGTGATTGAGTAGTGCTTTACACAACATATGAAGTCGATACCTTGCGATTCTGCTTAGTCTATCGAAAACTAGGCGCTGTAGTACACCCGTAGACAGTTTTGTATTCGACTTTTCTGTTGACTTTTTAGCGAATAGTTTAGTTATACTCAGTAAGAGTAGGAGGCTTTCTAATCTCCTGCAGTATTAACCACCACTATCTATCCATCGGCAAACGCATTTGCGTTGGTATTCCAATAAGCCTGATGCACTTTTACCCATTTGGTCCTAGTTTAAAAGTATCACGAATTTTTTCCTAGGTAGACGATATCTATTTCGACAGGAAACACGTTGCCTCGCTTACTGCTTACCTTACTAGCGAAATGTCAGCTCGTAACAGCACTGGGCATAGATGTCTGGGTAAAAAGCTTGTGCGTGCATGCAATAGTTTACTCACTCCAGTACGCCAAGGTCAAGAGAGATGGAACTTATTCAAGCAGATCTACCTTACATCCACATCGGTTGTGGTTTCATTGAACCAAATTCACTGTTGTTTTACACGCCAAGCCCAAGTTCGTTCACGAATTTGCACGAATTATTTCACATACTGTATGCTATCTTAGAAACCCGATTATCGGTGTAGTAAAACAACCGGCAGCTGCACAAGTTCATACGCGGATTTTTTTGGCACAAACCATACCAAACCGCGTCAAACCTCTTTTTCTCGAAAGGTACGCAAGTTCTCATGCGTACATTTACTTGATTTTCATGAACGCAAAACAAACTTGTCCGGTAAATCCTTTCTAAATTACATTAATGATAATTGATATTAAAACACGGGCAAAGAAGTGCTGTTGATCTTTAACTTTTAAATGCGTAGAAAATTCCTGCTCTTTCTTCAGCAAACTGACCTGAACTGAACTCCTTTACTGGAAAACAGCCTTTGGCGTCTCAAATTAATTCAATTTACAAAGGTAGCAACCTCAAATGCGTATTTAATCACGCCCTCAAATTTCAGTCTTTACATTCCCCTTCCGCTCCTATTCTGCCTTTCACCGATTCTCCACTTCATCATACTCATCTTCCACCTCCTCCTCTTCACATCTCATGCTATAATTGCCTCTTCTAGAAAATGAAAGCTTTTTTCAATGTTTTTAAATCTGAATCTACTATCATCGATCTGGCTTCAAACAATTCTGTCGAATGCCTCAAAAGTACTCATCCGTCATGGCTAAGAATTTGTTGATTTGTAGAAGCCTTTCGATGAAAGCTCATCCTCGATCCCAACGCTCTGATGCACTGCAGAGGCTGTGGCTGGGCTGGCTAGCACAAGCCGTTTACGCAGAATTCCCCTCATCTGAATTTCCATCGAAGGCTTCACAAAGTTTACTGTGTTTACTATGACCGATATGATGTGAGAGGGACAAATAATAGAAACAGAATTGCCAAAAAATGTTGAGAGCCCTTTCTTCTACACGAAAATATACGTCTTAGCATCTCAACAGCAGAATTTTGGTAGAGAAAAGGCGCCCTTGCTGTACGAAAATCTATGTTTATGATTGCACCTGACAAGTATCTATATGTTGACAAGGTGGCACCGACAAAGACAGGGGAGACCGGAACGGTCATCTCTGGTTTGTTAGCTGTCATCAGCCAGACATACCGAACCTTGTTGTAAGCCCCAGGGTAAAACGAGACCTAAGTGTTCCTTAACCAGATCGGTGGGTCTCATAATATCATCATATGCCCGACCGCAACCGACCAAACGAAGATCCCGTGGTACACGGTAGTATGTTGCACTCAATGACCAAAGGTCGCGGGTTGGAATCTCGCGCCATCCACACCTAAGCTGACGGCTAACCAGCCATGGCTGGATCAGGAGGAAATGATGG